ATGCACAAGCATGAATGTTACAGAATCTCTGTTTCAAAAAATCGGTAGCTATCCACGTCATGAATAAAAAGGCAAAAATAACCACTTTTATTGGTGATAAAAAAACTCCCACTGAATTCGCCCTTTTTACAGAACACCGCTGATGTATAAAAAGAAGCCTAATTAATATTTTTACCCGACGAATTAACCTTTTCATAAAAAGAATTTCCAGCAGCTGAACTTATAATTTCAATTATAAAAATCAACACAGAACATTTTTTATTTATATTTATTTGATTCAAAGAAAATAATTATACAGGGATCCCCCCCCCCCCCCCAAAAAAAACAATACGATATTAAACTTGTTATGTGAAAACTAGTTATTTTATATTTATTTATTTATGTGTGTGTGTTTGTGTGTGTATATATGATTTGTAGATTTTATATATTTAGTCAGAGAAATATGAACTTTATATATTAAGGGGTTAAAGATTTATTTTTCGGTATGTTACAACGACCTTTTAATGTATGCGTCTTCTTTAATTCTTCATCAAATCAAATAATTGAGTCATCATTTTGAATATTATCTCTCCTTCAGGTACGAAAAAATTAAAATATCAGAAAAAAATTATGAAGATAAGAAACTTTATTTGTGACTCGGAACTCAAAAAGAATACAATTTATGGTAGACTATACCTTTGGTAATTAGAAAGGTTCCAGATTTTCTACTCTTTGCAAAGATGAAGCCAATTGTAGTTTCTTCACAAATAACGGTCGATTATTTAGAATGAAAATTAATTCCTTCCTTTCATAATACATTGCATTTACTTATTTTCATATGGTTCTATCGTTATTATTTCATTATTGCTCTTGTTTTCTGTCCAATATATTATTCTAATTATTCGCACGGACCAACTAGTCATAATAATAATATTAACCATTTTATATGTAAATATATATAATTATCTATTTTTATGATTTTTTTAAACGAGTTTATCGAGGATTAATACAATCTACCACATTGAAGGGCAATAAGTATTAGTGCTAGAAATATTCATTCATACAATATGGACATAAAAAGGGGAAATAAAAGTAAATAATTAAAATAAAAAAGTAAATCAGATAATGAGAATTAATATTGTGTTGGCAAATACGATTTTTCAGGGTGAAATAAAACTCAATGTACTATAGACATAAAATTTATTTTAATCTAAAAAATATTGAACAATATTTAATATGACTTTTACCTATCTTTAATGCCATGTTCATAGAATGTCTGGAGTTTATTGTTACAAAACTGATCCAAGTGGTTTTTGATGTCCACTTCCTTTTGGAATTTCTTTCCATTCATGGAGTTCCGCAGTATTTTCTTATATGTTTTCTTTCATATTTACAGTGCAATAGCAAACACAAACTAAGCTAGTTTCAACAAGAGTTAACAGATATAGTTGTTGACATATTACAAACAGGATCATCAATCCACCTTAGGGAATAATTCATCAGATAAGAAGTGTATCATAGTGACAAAAAAACCAAAAAAAAAAAAAAACAACCAAAAAAACCGAAAAGACTTATTTGCAACTCCAACCTTTGATGGGTTTTGGGATCAGTTAGTATTTAGAAAACCCAGGGTCGATCCATGGCTGATGAAAAATTAATTGACATCAGTCGTATTCGAAACTGAGACCTTGAAGCCTAAACTCACTGAGCTACTCCGTTCCCATAATTAATAATGATCTATTCTCATGTGAAAAAAAAACACTAGTTCATTGTCACTTCAAATGATACATTTAAAAAAAACTACAACAGTATTTTGTAATAGCTTTTTTAAAAACATAAAAAAAAAACCTGTACCACTACAGGGTTGGGTGTAATACTATGTGAGGAAGTACTGTAACAAGGCCAACGGTTGTGCAGGAAGGTGATGGGGCCTCTATCACACTCAACCGTCAGATTTTCTCCCTTAATTATTTTTTCAATTAAGGGTACCCACTTTTTAGAAGCTGGGTTTGCCCCAGGAGGATCTCTCGACCCCAGGATCCATCCACGGCTAATGAAAAATTACTAGTCATTAGCCGGACTCGAACCCAGAACCTTGAGCTCTGGAAGTCAGTGCTCACTCACTGAGCTACCCCGCTCCCTTAAAAAACATAAAACATACATTTCTGTAAGTAGTTTATTATAATAAATCCGAGATCTTAGAAAAAATAACTAAAGCTTTGTAACACTTTAATAAAGTATTTTTTGCTGAAAATACAGGTACTTTCGGATGACAGAATATCAAATCACATAATATTTTCACATTACGATTCAGAGATAAATCATAGCTATGACATAAATATTCTATGACAAACCTCAACTTAATTAATATGGACTTAGAGTTAATCAAAACTTTGTAAATATATGTAAATATTTAACTGAATTCCTGAACTCGTTATAGCACACATAACTGATTAAAAAGTACAATTAAATATTTGTGAAAAGTGTATCATACCTATCTTGTAGGAATCTGATTCCCCACATGCATCTTGAACTTCCTTGGCACCCCAGCCAAGTGGGTATATTGCCCAACCAGTGCAAACAAGGAGAGCTGTAAAGAAAGAAAAAATAATATCAGCAATGTATTTTTCTTTATATCAGATAAAAAATTGTAATTGCTATTTCCATTTTAATTTAGCAAAGTATGTTTCATAATAGTATAGTCTTATAATACCTTCCAGCTGAATATAATATTATCATGAAACCTTTTAACAAAAATTTATTGAGATAAAATTAATTATTACAATCTACATTGGCAAAAAACAATAAAAGGCGCCTATGACTGCATCTTTCATTCTTACTTAGTTTGCTTTTGTTTTTATTTTGATCCTTGTCTGGCCATTTTTGGCATACGAGGAAGAATGAGGGAGAGGGGTTAAATTATCTCTCTATGTATATATATATATATATATATATATATATATATATATATATATATATATACTTCTTCTTTTAGGTTACTTAGTTGCATGTTTGTCCAGGACCGTCCAACTCTCTGCACCATACAAAAGAACAGGCAGAAATACTGTTTTAAACAAAGGTGTATATATATATGCATTTTATGTGTAAGTGATATATATATATATATATATATATATATATATATATATATATATATATATATATATATATATCACTTACACATAAAATGCATATATATATACACCTTTGTTTAAAACAGTATTTCTGCCTGTTCTTTTGTATGGTGCAGAGAGTTGGACGGTCCTGGACAAACATGCAACTATATATATATATATATATATATATATATATATATATGCTTACACATAAAAGATGGAATCGTTTCTGAAGCTCAGATTTTGAATATTAGTTCTTATTAATACAAGAGTGGTGAGGAATGAGATAATTGGAAGTAAAGCCACGGGCCACAACTAGAGGATTATCTTACTATAATACAATAGTGTTGTATCTGAGTTTTTGTTATAGTATGTATGCATATATGTTTACAATATAGTTTCATAAAAATATTACATTGAGAAAGACCCGTGACAATAAATATTTCAATAAAGAGAGGTGTTTACTGTTGGTACGCAATATTCAAACGCCTCGTATCGGAAAGTCACATAATATACTGTTATTTTCATTCCCTTAGGGGATATATAGGGACCTCGCAAATCCTCTATTGACTGCGGATACAATTCTTGCAGAAATTTTCTTCTCTATGTCCGGGGCCGGAAGGAAAAATGTCGACTTCATAATACCCATATAATACTTACAGTGAAATATTTTCTAGGATCGTTACAGGGTGATTCCATCTTCAGAACGCAGGACCTACACATTTTTAATCAAAGAATGTTAAGGAAGACTGACGTCTATTTTAGACTTATCAACAATAAAGAACGTCGTTTTATTTATTCAATTATAAAATTATTAATTAATAATCCAAGTAAATTTTTGTACACCGGCACCAGTAGTCGTTCCTTCAATATAATAATGAAAATAAAAAAAAATTTAGAATACTATGAGAAACTTTGACAGAACTGTGTTTGGCAGCGCTATACGTCACACTAATAGTGTACAAAGGCCACACCACCAATCTTTGAAACGCATCGTTTTATCTAAATATGATTTTTTTTATTATTAAAAACTACAATCTCAATCTATTATATTTTACGTTCTTTGTTACATGAATCCTATGGCAGCTTAAATTATCCAATTATTATTTTTTTTATGCCATACCTAGTCTTATCATAAATATTGTTACAAGGAAATATATACAGATTTTAACAGAAAAATTATTTTTTTTCAAACACTTTATTAGAAAATATATAAATATAGAGAGAGTAAAACAAAAAATAAATTACTCAAAATGTCCCCCTTTTGCCTTGACACTGGCATTTAATCTCCGTGGCCAGTCATCAATAGCAGCACGCAGCACTTCTTGAGGAAAGCACTCAACTGCTCAGGCCAGAGATTGTTTGGGGCTTTCCAAGTTAGGGTGTGCTGTGTGGCATGCCATCCTCTCTAGTTTGGACCAAAGCTGATAATCTAGTGGGTTGAAATCAGGGCTTCATGAAGGCCAATCCGAGGCAGAGATGAACTCTGGAATGTTCTTTTACAGCCACTGCTGTGTTGACCTGGCCATGTGAGCTGGAACGGAATCCTGCTGGAAAACCCAACGACTTTCAGCAAACAGAGTATCAGTTAGAGGCTTGACAACAGGTTCCAAATTATCCTGATAGTTTTTAGCGGCTGTTTTATGTCCTTTTTCAAAATGGGGCTTTCTGATGCCACCAAAGCAAACTATCCACCAAACCATCACTGAGGAAGAGAGATGACCTCTTTACACTCTTCCAATGACTTCCTGGGCTTCCTTAGAGCAATGTGCGTACACACAATCATTTTGGCGATAACATTTTTTTAAATTGATTCGCATCTATCTACTCTATTTTTTTTAGGGAATAGGTTAGCCTTTTTCTTGTCATTCTTCAAAATGCACCCATCCTAAGGTCACTTTTTTTATGGGAGACATTGATCTGACAGAGATTCCCATTTCCCGAGACATGATATGTTATTTTCGAATGAGATTTATTCTGATTCAAGCAGCCACTGCTCTCACTGCATTTGCCGTTCTCACAGTACGGGGACAGACCCGACCGAGATCTGTAAGATATCTATGGATATACAGACAGGGCTCATTATATATATTTATATTGCGGTACACGAACATACGGCTGATACCCAAAGGTTTCAAAGTGCTGAAAATCTCTGATCTACATTTTCTAAATTTGTGTAAGACGATCACAGCTATTCGGTTTTCTTTATCACTTCAGTCCGTGTTAACTGAGCGAAAAAGAAATACGAAATAATTAGGGTTATTGTCTTGACGTGTAAAGAAAATAACCTGATACAGATAAGGATAATCTAAATAATACCCAAGGATCTAAACAAAGTTCAACTTTTGTAACAGTATTTATGGCACAACTATTATTATTCCATTTCAAAATAAAAATGTGCCATATTTATTTTATGGTGAAAGATTACAAAAAAGAATAATTTATGTTAGAAAACCATTTTCATATAAATTATTATTCTTAAAGGTTGTTAGAACGAAGAAATTTTCTTCCCAGATGAATACATTTTCCATCTGAGAACAATATATATATTGTTTCTGACAAACTTGGAAGATATTTGATTAAGTAACATGAGCACAATTCACAATGGTGCTCCACAGGAGATGCATTGTGTAGAACCTTTTCTCATCAGTTATTCCTGGAGGAAAATAGCACTCCATTTGTTCTATTATATCTTATATATACAAAAGTTCCAAGCGCCCTCCTTCGCTAAAACGAAACTCATAAACGATTTATTTATACAGTAAACGAGGATCCTAGTGGTATAATTCCAATTTTGCAGGCATAATTCGTAAAAAACATCTCCGATAATATAGTAATAGGCCTTTATACTACCTTTACATTAGATATCCGAAAAGTTACGCAATAGTTATTTCATAAGTTTAAACGGAACTAAAGCTTATAGCTTACAGATAAGAAATCATTAAGACCATTAAAATTACAAAAAGTATGTTTTTTATATCAACGACAGGTAATAAAAATCTAGTTTTATTAACCACATAACTTCTGTTTCTGAACCTTTCAGTTGACAGAATGAATAATTCCAATTTCAAAATTTTTGAGTAATGTCATTTTGGTGACATTTCTAGTTGGAAAAGTTATATCTATACAGAGAGTGAGCAAGTTGATTCCAGAGCAGGTGTTTACAATGTTGAAATATAGAACTGTGAATAAAGGTATACATTTTGCCACTAGAAACATCAAAAAAATTAATAATAAAGAATGCCGAAATTGGAGTTAGTCATTCTGACAACAGAAAGGTTCAAAGTGCATCTGAATATTTAAATAAATGATTATAAATCGTAGGACTATTAGTTTTTAACTGTTATTTTCTATTGTAAAGTTTACTAAAATAAAATGACGAGATTTTCATTGCCTGCCATAGATAGGTCAAAAGTTGTCACACTAATTATAAGTGGATTATGTGATTTCACAAAGGGAAAATTCATCAAATTATTCACTAATTTAATTTCCTAAAAAATTACTTGATGAGTTTTTGGAATAAACGGCAAATAGAGACTTAATTATTTAAATATAATATCATATCTAGAGTTATTAAACTACAGCAGAAGTATTTAAGGTTATAAACATATCCATCCATGAAATATTTTTATATTTCACTTCTTCTTTCACACAAGTACAATTAAATAGTATTTTAAACAATGACATTGGCATGATTCGGTGGATACCTTTTTTTGAATCTAGAAAAAACTTTAAATGTTTATATTTTAAAACTTTAATTCCATTGGAAACATGTGATTGTTTACGTTAAATAATGTTAGTTTTTTTTAAAAATTATTACTAATATTTTTATATATATATTCTGAGGGCATAGTTGTTCCCTGGTATTAACGCTGATAATTCTCCAAGTGAGAAGGCAATAGATGATAAGAGAGGGCACATGTCGTAGTTTGCCAATTAACAGGCTCCGCTATCTAATTGGATATTGGGCCAACGATAAGGAGGTCTCGTGCGGGGGGGGGGCGATTGTCTTAGTCTCTTAATTAAAAGCGACTTTTCCTAACAAGGCTCGCGCAACTCTGATTCCCTCGTTAAATGCTAAATTTATCATCCTTACTTGGAATATAGGAGGGGTTCGGTGAACACAAGCACGGGCTTCCATATTCCGAGAAGTACAGACATATGTGAAACGGTTTAATATGTTATATTCCTTCCAATCGATTGAAGTAAAATTCAATACAATTAAAAGCTCTTTTGACACGATTTGAAAGAAATTTGAAAAATAAAGGCGATGGTAAAGAGGAATTAAGAAAGATTTTCATAATCTCATTAGATTTTAATTAGAATATTTCCTAGATGTTTGTTATTTCTTTTCCAAACCTTTACAAACAAACCATCTTGATCTGATTATTCCTTGTCCATCTGTCCATTTTTTTTTGTCTTCAATTTTTCATCCGCACCTGTCATGGTAGTGACAATTAGCAGATTTGTTAATAAGTCGAAAATGGCATGATAGGCATGACAAAGAATGGTGCCCAGCAGCACCTCTTCCTTGGCCTGTTTACATCCTAAAATCAGGAAATCAGATCTCTCATCGAGCTCCTTTTCAGTCGCCTCCTGATGAGCATTTCACCCGTGGACATGTCGTTGATAAGTCCATTGTGATGTCCGTGTAATTTAAGATGAAATCGGGAGTAAAGAGTACGTATGTGCTGGGCAACGGTTGGTTGTCTTAGGTCGGTATGTAAAGTCTTGTTGTTGACATACCAAAATTTTAGATTGAAAGGATTGTAGTTTTTGTAAGTGAGTCTTTTTTGCTGAACCGTAAATCTATGAGGCGTATGTCCAAATGGGTTTGAACAGGTAAGTGTATGTATTTAGTTTTTGTCTATGTCCTTTATTGAGACAGATTGTAATATTTATCAATAAACAAAAAAAAAAAAAAAAGTTTTTGTCTAATTTTCAATTTTGATTTGGAAAACAGTGAGTATAGCATTTTCAGTCGCTTGTTCAAAGTATTTCTTTTCATTTTGTCGTGTGGGCCCCAGGTCATCCTTCTGTCAAATATTAGTCCGAGGTACCGTATATTGTTCGTCTGAGGAATTGGATTGATGCTGATATAAACTGGTGGGCATGTTTCTCGTCGAAGCGTAAATGTTATGTGTTGTGATTTGTTATGATTTAATCTAATTTTCCAAAGTGAATACCAATTTTGTAAATTTATTAAGTGATTTTGTAAATTTATTAAGTGATTTTGTAAATTTAATGAGACTAGTCTGGGGTCTTGGTGTTTTGTTAAAATTGTTGTATCGTCAGCGTAAGTAGCAGTCAATGTTTCAGAGGGGGTAGGCATGTCATGCGTGTAGAGAATGTAGAGTAAATTTTTTAAAGACGAGATCTAAGCTAACAAACCTGTATATTTCTTCTCATAGAACTGTTTCCTTTAAAAAATCATTTATAACGCGTATAAACTTGGTTTTGAATTTTCAGTCAATGGATTTATTCTGTAGGTCTTTGGTAAATGTGTTAGTAATTTTCTTTGGCACAGTCTAAAATTGTTGGGATGTTTAATTTTTTTATGTTTAAGTCCTTGTGTATTATTTAATTCACGTTATAGAATGACGCATCAGCTATCCTCTGCAACACTTTCGACTGAAAAGATTGAATTATTTTAATTTTGGAGGTTTAAGCAGAAAAAAATGGCTAGTCGGTATTATAAAAAGTCTGTACTGGCCAATTAAAGGAATAAATGGACACCGAACGGAAATTTATCAACTCAAAAAAGAAGTGAATTAAGTCATGTATCTAAAAGGCATTATATCGAGCGGAACTAAAATATCTTCATTTTTTTGTCTACAGAAATAAATTTCACGTATTATTTAAAAAAAAAAAAACGAGCAACGGGATACGGCAAAGCTAAGTGGAAAAGTTAGCAGCCCTATAAAATAAAGCTACACCGGATCAGAGATAAATAATAGTTCAACTTACTTTCGAGCCATCAAACATAACAACCGCATTTGAATGTATAAGTTGGGGCTCCGGCGTCAGGGAAATACTGGCTTGTTTTCGTTTTAAAAAGCGCTCCCACGTTACACATTTCTGCTCAACTGATTTATCAGGATCTGATTTATTTCAACGGAGGAATCAGTGTTCTCAATATAATCTCATCAGGGACAGAACTACCTATGTATCAAGAATTCATGCATATCAAATCTATATCTTGACTTAAAAAATACTCTCATAGTCCACTAAATCCAAAAAAAAAAAAATGTTTGAGCACAATACTTACCTGTACTTCCTTTTTAAGCTCTTAATGGAATTGATTTATTTTTCAGACTCATCTTATATCGTTTGATTCCAAAGCTAAAGGCGCTAGCGAATATTTACCAGTCACGGAATCAATTTGTACAACAGTAGCACTGTTTCAAAGAACTGATTCAGTCCGAGCGAATTTTATTTGTTTATTTATAAATTAATTTATAATAAAAATCTAAAATTTGAATCAATGTTGTTTTTGTTCTCAAATCTCCATCCGCACCTGTCAAGGTAGTGACAATTAGCAGATTTGTTGTTATGTAAATAAACAGGTGTGAATAAAACACTAAAGCTAAACAAAAAAAAAAAATATATATTATTCCATACTCAATCGATAAATCGTTTAGTAAAAAATTTATTTCTTATCAAACGGAAATGAAGTTTGACTTAATTCAATAGTTTATTTGAATATAAATTAAAAATAAAAATAATGACATTTAAAAATATAAAAGCACTTGAATATAATATAAGAAATCAAAGAATATATACTGCACTGTTAAGACGTTAAAGTATGTTTCTTATTCTATACATTTATACACATTTTTTTTTTAATAAATCACATATGATAAAAATTAATTAGTTGTACCTTTTTAAGAATAAGATTTTAAGAATTAAATGGATACATAGAGTATTTTTATTCATATAAGTTTTTTAAAAATACTGTAGTTACTGGGGATTTCAAGTTTTTATATATTTTTATATATGTATTGACTTGGTGGAATTAAAATTCGATAATTAAGTACGACCAATTGCGTAAGGTACAAACCCCATAAAATTTATTATAAGGGAAAAACCATGTTCTGAGGAGTAAGCGTTTCGTTCCAATGTGCGCCGATAAAATATTCAATATCCTTCCTATGTT